TACGAACCCTTTGTACGAACAAAAGTAAGAGAAATTTAGGATAAGAATACGAACATGTTCTTGCATGAGGCCGATTGTTTTCTTAGTTTTTGTCTGCTTGTACACTGGAGTGTGTATCATTATTTGTTTGGTTTGTTTGCATTGATTTCTTTACATCAAGGGCCATGGCTTGCACTGTGATTTGCATTTGGAGAACATTTTCAATAGTTAAAAAGTTCAATCTCTGGAATCTGGGATCAGCCACTGCAGTACTTTAGATGGTGTTGGGGCATTCTAATTTGAACACAAAGATTTTTGTCYTGCCTTGATGGGATCTCTTCTTTCATATGGGTCTGGCAGGGCTTTACTGGCGCTGCTTTAAAGTCTGAAMCCTGTGTGGCTTTCTTAAGGCAAATGTGTTTCCATCTCTCCTTTTGTGCATTAACTCGATTGCAGGATGGGGGAAACTGGCCTTGGCAGAGGTTTGCACTCTCCGAGTGCTTCTAGTTAAAAATGAAATTCTGTGACCTGAGCAGTCCAACAAGAGACAAAAAACTGAAACATCTGGTTTTAGACCAGGGGTGCCCGACGAGTCGCCCGCCAGCTGATTCCCAGGTGCCCGCACAGCGCAACCTTGCTGCGGAGCCTCTAGCGCCGGCTTTGAGCATCGCATCCCGGAATAGCTGGTCTTGTTTGAAAGCTCTGGTTCTGCCCTACAAGGTGAAAATTGAATAAAGTCCCTGCGATGTTCCCCCGTGGAGCAATAAGCAAAAAACCTCCAAAATTACGCACCGTCTGACCTCTGCCGGGGGTGGTTTTAGCCCCCCTCCCCAGGCTAGGAGCATCCGATCCCGGAATGGCTGGTCGGGTTTTAAAGCTSTGGTTCTGCCCTACAAGCTGATACTTGAATGGAGTCTCTGTGATGTTGCCCCGCGGAGCTATAAGCAAATTACGTACGACTTGGTGCATTTTTACGCACATTTTTGGGAGGAAATTTCAACCTTCATTTGCTTCTCCCGTGGGCTCTCACCTTCTGATACGGGAAAGTGAGATGACTTTGGAAAGCTGCGGTCCTCCACTACAAACTGGAGGTGGTTGGAAGTTCCTGGGACGTTCTCCTGCGGAGCTATTAACCAACGACCGGCCGAAAAAGGCACTTTGGCGGGTGATATAGTACTCAATTTACTCCGGAGCCTCTAGCGTCGGATCCAGGCGGGTGATGGTTAATTTTAATGTTCTGGATCTTCGCTACAACCTGGAGGTGGTTGCAAGTTCCTGGGATGTTCCCACGTGGAGAWATAAGTGATCAAAAGTCGTCGGGCGAGCTTCGGCTGGTGAAACGGCTGATTTCCAGCATGGGGCTGCTTGTGATGATGCARGGGAATAAAAGGAAGAGATCCAGTGAGGTGGAACTGTGGTCCTTTGTCCAGCACACACTCTCCCGCCTGGATTCAGCCAGAAACCCCTGGCGGGCGATATTTCTGCAAAAATGCATAAAATTCAGAAACCCACCTGATGGTTCTGTTCCAGGCAATAAAAAGAACAGATCTGATCAGGTGAAACCAGTCCTGGAAGCTCAGCACCAGGTTTTATAGCCRCCTGCGAGAGAGTTTTATATTGTGTGCTTTGATTTTGAAGGGAAAAAAGGCGGCACTCGTGTGGTAGCCATGTTGACCCTGATAGTTTTTTGTTTTGTTTTTCCTCCCCTGTATGGAGAGAAGAGAGGAGAGTTCTTTGAATAAATGGAGACGAGTTCCCGTGCTCCAAAGTTATTTGACTCTGTGGTTATCACACTGGGCAGGTTTCCAGTCCTCATAGCTCGCACGTTACAGTGAATTGAAGGTTAAAAAACTTGATCCTTTTTGTTCGAGCATCGCTTTTCTGTTTCTCTGTCAGGAGTTAAGG